GAAGCTGAACAGGTAGGCCCCGGTTTCTGTGTCCTGAGCCTGGCAGGGGCTGCTGCTGTGCTCTGCTCCTTGCTTTTCTCTTTCCCAGAGGGCAGCAGGAGGCTGGGACTGGGGCTGGGTTTCATTCTTGGTGGAAACTTCTCAGATTAGAGGAAAGCCCCATCTGCCTTTCCTTGTGGCCAAGCGTAGTAGAGCTGATGTTGGCCAGTGGACTAAATGTTATATTTTTGTAAAACTCTAAGAGAAGAGAGAGAACTCTCTAAGAGAAGAGCAAAATGTTGCTCTGTCGCTCTGATTTGGGATTCAGTCTGGCTCGTCATCAGCTGGGGTGTTGGTGAGTCTTGGGGTGAGGGCAGAACCAGAGATGGAGCTGCATTGCCTTCTCAAGTGCACTGAGTTCCCTCTAAGGCTCTGTAGGGCATTTCTGATCCCGAGCCTGAAACAGCAGCCAAGCTGGAATCCCTGTGTGTGTCTCTTACAGTGTCCCATCCATATTGCGTAGCAATAGATTCCGCAGGGATGCCAGAGCCTTGGAGGAGGATGAAGAAATGTGGTTCAATGAAGATGAAGAGGAAGAAGGCGAAGCTGTTGTACCTCCAGTTGAGAAGTCAAAACAGGAGGATGATTTTCCAGATAGCTATGAGAAATTTATGGAAACTAAAAAAGGTATTTACTCTGTTTGAGCTTGTTGGCACTGGAAGTGCTCCATGGCAGATACGTGGAGTATCACCCAAACTACCCCGTGGTTTGTGCTCTGTACCTCAAGCAGCAGTACAGGGTATTCCATGTAATTGTGTCTTGAGATCCAAATGTGTCTTCGCAAGCCAGTTTAGGATTAAAATAACGAGTTTAAATGGTATCCAAAAGCAGGACTTTGAATGTGCCTGTGTGCTCCAGGTGAGCCATGTCCCCGTGCCCTCAGCATCCAGGCCCTGCTCACTTTGCTGCTGATGGGCTCAGGATGGGCTTGGTTGGGGAACCGAGAATTGCAGCAGAATTGGAACCAAAAAACCTGCTGGCTCTCGCCCTGCGATTGCACTGTGATGTGGATTGTACTCCTTGGTGTGCAGCTGATACCTAAGTGTGACAATGTTTGTCCCTCAGCTAAGGAGAGTGAAGACAAAGAGAATCTTCCAAAAAGGACTTCAGCTGGGGGATTCAAATTCACTTTTTCCCACTCAGCCAGCGCAGCCAACGGTGCGAACGGTGCAAACAGCAAATCCGTGGCAGCTCAGACATCACCAGCGAGCTCCAACGGCTCCTCTTCCAAGAACACGGCCCTGAGCCCGGCGGTGCCAGCCCCCAAGGTGGGAGAACTCGTGTGGGGCTGTCCCAGGGTGACAGCAGCAACAGCCTGTGGGCAGCAGGGCTGAGTTGGGCATAAATTCACCTGAGCCCCTCGCTGCTCTGGGGAGGTCTGAGTGGGGCTGGGCTCTGTTGGAATCTGGTGGGTGCAGTCTCATCCCACATCCTCTGCATCGTTTCACTCTTTCCACTTTTTGTTCTGCTCAGTTGCTGCTCTGTACCTGATGTACAAAGGAAAGGGGGTTTTTGGGAACTGTTAGTGCCCCGCTGGCTGGGGAATTGCCCAGTGCTTTTGAGGAGACAAGTGCAGTGAGTGACCCCTGTGTGGTGCCTGACTCAGCCGTGCATTATTGGAATCCTCAGCCACTGAGCTCCTGAGCAGCTGCAGAAAAGTGTGGCAGGGATTGATTGCCCACCCTAAGGCTGAGCAGCCAAAGGGCTGTCAGCCTGCACCTCGGAGTTCGTGTCTGTCCCGCTGGGCTGACAGTGATTCTTAAACAGTTCTCAGTCCAGACCCAGAGGAGTGAGGAAGCTCCAGTACATTTTGCAGCTTGAGGTTCAAACCCATTTTCCAGGCAATTGGGACTTGGAATGCCAAAGGCTGGTGTGCCCTGGACAGGCTGGCTGGAGGTTTTGTTCAAAATTTGCACCTTTCTAGGTACTTCTTCAATATAAAAACTTCCTTTTTCCTTTTTCTAATTGGCAGGGAAGTCTAGTTGGGCTAGTGGATTATCCTGATGATGAAGACGATGACGAAGAGGAGGAGACATCTCCAAGGAAAAGACCTCGTCTGGGTTCATAAAAGAAACCAAAACTTTGGAATAAGAACTTTTATTATGGGGTTTCAAATGCTGCAACTGTTTTAAGAGCTAAAAAGAATCTGAATCAGAAAGCTTTCTCCCATGAGTATATAAGATAATACAAGGAGTAGCAAAAGAAACTCGGTGTATCAGCTAGAAAGGGTTAGTTCTGTAAACACAAATCTTCCAAGGAACTTAATGTCTTTCTAGAAAGTAAGGAGTCTGCCATTCAGGCTGTCAAAAAAAAAAGAAAAATTTTAAAAAAAGGTGGGTTAGTATTCTCAGAACCTGGATGATGGCTTCTCAGCAAGGAAAGTCTCAGGTGTTGGGAGGGAAAGGGGGAGGGAAAGGTATGGTAACACTTTTTAAAAAATATTGCAGGGTTTCCCCATTGTTTAACAGAACTAGGAAAAAAAATTCAAACTTAAATTTTGAACCCAGTAATCTTAATTTTGTAATGGTGCTGTCAGTTGTGTTCTTTTAGCAATGCCTCTTTTAAAAAAATTTTAAGGGAAAACTAACTCTGTTTGCATAAGAACAATCCATATTTTGGGACCATTTATTACCAACTAAACTGCATTTCTCATGATTGGAGGGAGGGACACTGCAGTTGTAGTGCATGTTGAGTTGTTTCAAACAGTTAAAATAAGTTTTAATTTGTATTTTCCAAGAGGAGAGAATGGAAGCTGGATTCAAAATGGAAGGTTTTGCTTGTTTTGTCAGTGAGACGTCCAGAAATATCTATGCCAAGGAGCAGTGGCTTCCCAAGGGTCTGCAGGAGCTGCTTGTGTCATGGTGGGGCTGCGCCTGGCACATCCCTCAGCTGTTGGTTGAGGTTGGGAAGAGCCTGAATTCCAACGTGCTCCACGGTGCTCCAGGGCTGCCTCCTCTTGGAGCAGCTGTTTCCCTGTTTGGGAGCTGCATGGTTGAGGTGGGAATAAGAAACACACAGGTTTTTCATAGAGATGGACTGAGCAGCATTTTAACAGCAAAGGCAGTTTGGACCAAGACAGGGTTATTGCCAGGAGAACACCTTGAGGGCTTGGAGGCAGAATCCACAAGCAGCACCTGAACCTGGGGTGGTACAAAAGCTGCTTTTTTAAAACACAAAAGCACATTCCACATAGGTGAGTGAACTGTGACAGGAACAGGGGAGTTCATGGCAAGGTGACAGAGGCAAACAGTCCAGGTTTTATTTTTAAGAGCAGCACATGAACTGTAAATATTTTAATGTTAGTTTGCCCATATGTGATCTGAGATCATGACTAAGTGAGAGGAGATTTCCCAGCGACTGTGTCAGAGATGTTAAAGATGGAACCAGCTGCAATCCACCACATAGATCACTCTTGTAATACGTGTTATGGGTCCATTTCTCCTGGAATAGTTTAAACTGAAGCAGTTTCTCTGTTTTGGAGATTTTTGTAGTTAGTTTTAATTTTAGCTCTTGTTTGGAAAAGATGGGCTGTCTGTGTAGATATGAAGTATAGTTTTTTCCATAAAACAGAAGTTTATTTTGTATTAAAGATACCACTGTACTTGTTTTACACCATTTGTATACATGTGGTGATATTAATGCTGAACTGTAAAATTCAGGAATTAAAATGTGACCCTGTAATTCCATAATTATTGCTTTTGTTTGGTTTGTTACACATGGTAAGGTGAACTCAGACTTTTCAATGTGGCTGTTGCAGGATATTGTTTCAGGTTAGTTATCCATGCAGGTTTCAGAAGTGACTCCATACCCCTGGATGGAACCCCAGAGGGAATGGGTGAGCTCATCCCGATGTGTGAGCAAGACACAGGTGCTCTGATGGACCTGGGGACAGTGGTGTTGTCCCCAGAGAGCTCCAGGCCAGCCAGCACAGGACTGTGAGGGAACACCCGTCAGCTCCAGAGCCAAGGAGGTGTTTGCTGCTGAAGAAGCTGCAGCTCCATCCTCGTGTGCTCGCTCTCGAGCTGCTTTGCTTCCCCGTGGCTCTGTCTCCATCAGTAAAGAAGATTCACAGGCCATGAAAGCAGCAGGGACCTGGGATGTCCTGGCCTTCACTCACCTGAGGAGCAGAAGTGACATCTCCTGGAGCGTGGACCCCTGTTCCTGGTTCTCTTCAGCAGCCTCCCAAGCCGAGTTCTCCACAGGACTCCGGAGGAGCGTCAGTCCTTGCTCTGCTCCTCACCACTGCTGCAGTACGGCTGGAGCTTTAAAAACACACTCAGACAAACTCGAGCTTGCTTCACAGCAAAACCAAGAATGTAATGAGTTTTTATAGTTCCTAGGAAAGGACTGGGTGAAGTGGCAGCAGATATCCTGTTAAACACCAGCCTGCAATCCCGGGAGAAGGTGACACCCAGCACTCTGGCTTTTCTGGGCTGTGACCCCTTGGTGCTGGTTCCCAGTCTGCCCTCGTGGGCAGCCACGTTTGTTCTCCTGCCAGGGCCCTTCCACTGCCACTTTTGGGGAAAAAATGGAACATCTGCCAACATGTACCAGTTATAAATGCTATTTTAATAAAAATTCCATGAAACTAGAAGGGGTGGGGTTTTGTCTCTTGTTGTGAGAAGCTGTGGCATGTCATGGCCAAGGGTCACCTCTCAGTAAGGCCATGCCATGGGCAAATGGTGACCTCTCCTGGCTTCTTTTTGAGTCTGTGAAAGCCAAACCAGTCAAGGACTTTAGAAGATTTCTGCTACTCTGGCAGTGAATTGCTGGAACAGTCTCAGCTTTGCACTAAAGCAACTCCTTTTATTTAAAGTTGCATTTATTGCAAACTGGGCCCTGGAGCCTGGGAAACTGCCCCAAAAGCCCGTAAACCACCGTAACCTGGAGTTAATTTGTGAATGTCTTGACTCCCAAGGTGCATTGGCTTTCTCACAAATGAGGTGGTCGAGGGCACTTCCTTGTGAAACCAGACTTTATTACTGCACAGCTGAAAAAGAGCCATTGGTTTATGATGGGCTAATGGAAGGAACCACCTTCTGCACTGTTGACATGAAAAAGTTCCAACGTTGAGCTCGGAGCTGTTGCCACAGGAATTCCTTTCCCAGCTCTCCAGCGGTGCCTCTGCTCTCAGGGCTGGAGCGGGGCCGTGCTCTGCAGTGCTGGCACGGCCTCGCTGTGGGACAGTCAGGGACTTTCCAGCACTCTGGAAAACGAGTGTTCATGGTGTGTTTCAGTGGCATTTGCAATAGGGAGTTACCAGGTACTGAGCTGCTTGTCTGAAAGTTCTATAAATCCCAGTGCAAGATTGGAAATCCCTCACTTACTGATAATTTATTCTAAAACATCCTTCTGTTCTTGGGGTCAGCAATGAGCCTCTTAAAACTACCGCTTATTAATTACTTCTTCTTTTAGCTTTTCTGCAAGCATCTTCCTCTTCTGGAGCAGCCTTTGCTTCTCTTCTGACATTTCCTAAAAACAGAGTGGAAACAAAACTGCAATGAGCAACCACCAGCCCCACCATGGATCAGAGGGGTGGATGGGGCTCCTGCCACCACCCTGCCCTCTCCCAATGCCCTGATCTGTGTTTTGGGAACCACAGCTTCAGCTCCTGCTGAGCAATTGTCCTGAAGGCTCCCCAGTCACCAGGATTTGGAGCACCTTCTGAGCATAATAAAATGCACTCTGAAAAGTATTTGAGGCAATAGAAAAGACTAAAGTCTTTGGACTTTAGTTCATGCCCTTAAGTACTTGCTCTATAAAGAAGAATAGTGATTTTTGGCTTAGAAACAGAACAGTTACCACATTGTTTTGTAATTTAAGAAGGGTTTAAGGTCTTCTAGTATTTTCCTCTTAATTTTGAGAGAGTTTTCAAGCATTTGCAAAAGAAAAAGAAAATCCCTGAGATGTGAGGAGCCAAAGAGTAGGTCACAGACTAGGAGCAAACTGGCATTTTCTCCATCCATAAACTGAAGTTAACCAGGAGGCTTTGCTGATGCTGAAGCCAACCACTGCCAACTTCAGCACTGAAACTTCCAGCCTGAAGCTTCTGCAAAGCCAATGACTTGGAAATATTTCCCCCCTTGTTCTTTTAACCCATTCCCACTCTTCGGCAGCACTGAGGACACCTGCAGTGAAAGCACCTGTGGGTTTATGTGAAAGTGCTTCACCTCTTTGGGAGGGGATTCCTCCTCTTTCTGATCAGTGTTGGGTGCTGGTGCATTATTTTTTGACTCTTTCTTCGTAGCCAGCAGCAGGTCTCGTTTTTTCTTTAGGTAATCCTCACGTTGCTTCAGCTGCTGCTTTTCAGTTTCTGATAAATCCTGGGGGAAAAAATTAAAATTTTGAAATTAATTCTTTTGTATCAATGTCCTGTGCAAGAAAAGCACATTTACATCCTATTTGCTTCCAAAATTACCAAGTAAAAGCAAATCCAAGCTGAGGCTTCAAGTCAGAGCTGTCTCCTAAGAAATTACCAAAGGATCGAATGCTGAATTCTACTCTGAAACCAGAAATCATGAGCTGAACTTTGTGCTAATTAAACTGTGAATAACATGAAAGAGTGTTTACATATTTGTTTTTTAAAAAACCCAAAATAACCCAAATCCACTTCATTACAATAACAGAAATACTGTATTTAAATATACTACTATTTTAAATATATATTCTGCATGTAATCCTCTCTTTTTGCATTCTAGTTCTATGTTTGCCTTTTTTTTTTTAATTTGTTTTTAACTTACAGGTCCTTTCACCCCAGCTTTTTGCACTGTGTTCTCTGAACCTTTCCCAGCAGACCTTTTCTTAGTGTCTTCTTTCCCCTTGGTACAAGAGGGCTGAGGTAAGTTTTCAGTTCCTTTTTGTACTGGTTTGGGGTCTTCTTTTGTAGGTTTATGAGATCCCTCTAAGTAATTTTACACAGAAAAAAAATTAGAAAGAATAAATACATGAGATAAAAATAATCAATCAGAACAGAACATCATGGAATAGTGAAGCATCCCATGTTGGAAAGCATTCCTGCAGGGCAAATACACTTTACTCACAGCCTTACCCAGCCAAGTTCTTAAAATCTTGATAAAAGTGGACTCTTGAATCATTTAAAACCAGCATCATGTTGTCCACTCAGCACTGCACTCCCCCTAAAATTACCTAATGGGCATTTTGGACTTTCTTCAGCATCCTCAGCTCCCTCAGTGGATTCCTTAACTTTTACAGCTTCTCTTGAATCTCCTGGGAAATGCTGGGTAACATCTGGAGCTTTGAGTTTAGCATGTGCCTTGAATTAGAAAACAAATAAACCCAAGTGTTACATTTCCTGGCACTGTACCTCGGGTACTGAACTGTCCACACAAAGGAATCTCCCAAAAAACATTCCAATTAAAACTGCATTGTTTACACTACAGACAATCCAGCCCTGCTCTCAGAATTTCTGCCTAGAAATTGCTGTTGATCAACCATGGCATTCATGTCAGAACCCCACACCATTCATTAAAATATGAAATTATTTTGTGTTGAAACATTCTTTTAACAAAAACCATATCACTGAACACTAACTATCACCTTCTCTGGCCAGGTGAACTTGACTGGGGGCTCTGCAATCTGGCTCATTTATCAAGAATACTGATATTCTTGGTGGTCTGTGGGGATTGGGATAAAACCTGCCTGTTTGCCCTGTCAAGGGGAGGTTTATTGCCATGATTCCACAATTTGGACAGTCCCCATTCCCATTCTGTTTCCTTTCTCTGTGGTATACTCTGATGGACACCAAGGGATGGTCTCCTGGAGAGGATTTCTGGTCCTGGTGATTAGTTCTGTCTTGTGAACACTTAATCAGTAACTACACTGTCTATCAAGTCATCCTGAAGGTAATTCCCGTGGGATTATGAGTGCTGTCATCTCCAAGCAGCTTACACTTTGAAGGCTCTTTGATCCTGACAATATCAGCAATTCAGCTGCTCCCTGGATCTGAAGGGTTGACACCCATCAGCAGGATTTCAGGGTTCAGGTGCTGAGCAGGGAATGTGCCTCTTGTGGGATACTGCACTGATGGAACACGGCCTGGAAGGGATCTGGGCAGGACAGAATATCAGGGGATTTCTTAATCAGTCCCATAACTCACATACAAAGGTAAGACACTCACTTCTTCAGTCCTCTTTCTCTCTTGCTCTATTTCATACTCTTCCTTAGATTTTCTGTAACAATAAACAAGAGTAAATACTCAAAACTCATTTAGTGGTAGTGATTTTCAGGGAAATTTAACACTGCTTAAATATTTGGTGACTATCAAAGCAATTACATGGTAATGTGAATTTGTCAGTATCTAAAATATTTCCACGACTTAATTCTTAATAGAAATAAATAATTGGGATAAACACACAAGAGCTCACTGTCCTCAACCACCTTTGTGCTAAAATAATTGTCTAAGAATTTCCAGGACTTACCTATCCCTTTACTTCATTTGCTAATTTAAAGACAGGAAGGGAAGTATTCCCAGAATCCAGAGGGAAAAGAGCATTATCTAATATCACCTGGATGGACTCATCTGCTGTTATTTGTTTGTGTGGCTGTGAACTGGGAGTGGGGCAGAATCTGCAGAAGCTGTACTGGTCTCACACATCTCAGATCACAGCAACAGTTCTCACTCACTACTTCAATATTCCTGAGCACACCCACAGCCCAGCACCACCCATTTTCCCTCAGGCTGGATGCTGACAGGAATACTCCTGTTATCTGTAAGATGAAGGCAGTTTCCTGGAAAAGGCTGGCAGACTTAGGTCCTCCAGACCTGTATTTTAAAATAACATACAAAGTGGGACTGATTGATTTCTTACCTTAAAACCTCCCTGAGTATTTTCATTTCTTCCTGTTCAATTTCACTGAATACATCAGAACCCTCTGTCAAACACTCAGGCAATACACCTGGAAAAAAACCAAGATTTATGCTTTACTCTAAGGAAAATGATTTTGTGCTTCAGTTGGCAGATAAGAAAAGAAAATTTAAAAAAAACCCAAACAAAAGAAAATCACATTCACAAAACCAAAGTCATGTAAACTGTTTCCACAAAGATCCTAGAGGAAAACGTTCTAAATCCTGTTAGGAAAAGGGTGAAGATTTCTGGCAATGCAAGTTTTGACATCAAAGGTTAAGCCAAGCTCTGCATTGACCATTGTGTGGCATTTCCTGTAGGCTGCAATCCAGCCATGGCCACCTGAACCACTCCCAAATTTAGCTGTTATATGAAAGGTGAAATTTAAAATTTATTCTCTGAAAAACACTCATACAGTAAAAAGTAAAACGAAAAACATGGAAGGAAGGAGTGGGATAAAAATCCTTTTAGAAGCATCAACAGAGCAGCAAAGTTGGGTGTGGATTATTTTCTGTTCATCTTCTTTCTCATGCATGTATGAGCATGAGGAAGGCCTTAACTTGTGCTTCCTGAATGGATTTTTCAGTGTGAATTGCACAGTAAGCACAGCAGACACTACAACATCCTTGCCATGCAGGAGCAGAATCCCAGCTATTGATATTGCTCCTTTTGAGGAACTGCTCTAACTGCCTCAACTCAGAAATGCCACCAAAATTCTGCACCAGAAAACTCAATTAAGTTTCACAGAGAAATTCAGACAAACAGACCTGAAAAATCTGTTACCTTACAGTACAGACAGCTGTCACTGAGAGTGCAAGCCAAGGACTAAGTAATAAATCCCTGTCCCAGTATCACCAGCTGGGTGTTTTCCTGTAACTTGAACTGGAGCAGAACCAGCATTCCACACTCATTTATGAATGGCTTAAAGAGTCATCAAAAGAACATAAAAACCTTCAGAGAGCCCCCACATTCCCCACTTCTCACCATTTCTTTCTTTGATGATTCGAATTGCTTGCAGTTGCATTTCAACATTTTTCTGTACCATCATTTTTTTAAATAGTCTAAAATCTTCTGCAGCCAACACTGTTTGCAGAATGGCCTGTGGGAGGAAAGATATGCACAAAATTAAACCCCCACAGAAATCCTAACCAGCTCTGTCTGTTTGAAATTAGCTTCATTTTTCAATTCTGGGGAGCATGTTTTTAATAATTATATTTCATTCTCCTATCTGTCTGTTTTTCCAGATATACAAGAAGAGCTCATGGTCAGGAAAATAATTTGGTGGGTTATGTCTTTAGTAACATGTCTGCAGTAACATTCTGACAGTATTATAACATTATCACAAAATTGGGTTTCCCAGTGTCAGTTTACAGCTGCAGTTCAATTGAAAATTACAGTTTCACCATGAAAACTTTTCCAAGTTTCATCTCCTGCCAGCTGTGTCAGGGAAATCATCAAGCTAAGAATGAAATCCATACATTCCTAAATGAAGGCAAATACCTGGGAGGTGTGGGTCTTTGCAAGAGGAGAAGAAAAAGCTTCTTGAAATTTCTCCTCATTAATTCCAACTTCTTTAAGGTAGTCCTCTAGTAATCTCTCCACCTGTAAGAAAGTATGAGCCTTACTTTCTAAGGTTTTTCCCTGAGAATCAGAGGAGGTTTTGTCATGATTGTTCTTTTCTGCTGATGTGGTTTATAAACTCAAAGGAAAATTGCTACAATAGCATAACTGACTATTCTGATTTCAAGCTTTATTTGCTTTCATGAACTGTTCAAAATGAGCATTTTTATTGCTAAATTTGATGACTCCTTAATGTATCTTCTCCAATTTCCAGGACTCTCACTTGTGCACCTTTTCCCCAGACTCCTGGCTAGTATTCCTCATGGTTTTTTGATGAAAGTAAAAGGCTTTTGCCAGTCTGTGTCAGAGCAGAAATAAATGCTGGTTTGTATTTATTCAGTCAAAGCTTTTTAGTACCATGTACTTCCCAGCCTCATTACAGGAAGTGTTAGAAACCTGCATGTACTATTTTATAGGTATTTAAGCTCCAAAAATCTCCTGTAGTTTTTTCTGATACTTGAAAGATAATTCAAAAGATTTCCCAGTCTCATTAGTGAACAGAATACAAGTTGTGAGTGTTCTCAGACATCCTGCTGGTTGTCATTTTCACTTGACAGAAAATAACATTATCAAGCTTATAAATACAATCTCGAAGGTAGTGGATATATTAATTTTAGTGATGAATATGTAAAACAGCCTAAGAGCTATGCCTGTGTCACAGTTTCTTTTCTATGTCCTTGGTCTTTAGGCATATAAATGCACATGACAACTGCAACTCACAGGATTTCTAAATAACATGGAAAAATACTGAATAACAATAATAACCCAATCAGAAGTTCATCTAAATACTCATTTAACACTTTAAATTCTTTTGCTTAGAAATTTACCACAGATAGTGAATAATGCTCACCAGAGCTTGGTACTCCTGATAAATTTCTGTGTAAGACAACTTGCTTTCTTCTTCATCATCAAAAACTGAGGAGGGGGAAGAAGAAACATTTTGCAGTCAGTGTACAAACCACCACAAATTAACTGACACCCTAAACAGCAAGATTAACCTTTAGAGGATAATATATTTAATCAATGAAAAGATAGGCCATTTATAAATTTATAAACATTAATTTATTAATGTTTTTAATAAATTTATAAATTTATTAAATATTTATAAAAGGTCTGTGTTTTGCCACACACTCAGGCTAAGGGTGTGCTTTTGATAATTGAAAGTAATTAAGCAGCATAATTTAATATTGGGAAAATGTATCTTCATAATAGACTTGTAAGCAAGTTGAGGATTCAGCAGATACATTCACTAAAAAGTAAGTTTTAATATAAGAACTACCCCATGATTCTGTGTAAGGTTGTTCTGTGACACATCAAGCAGAAAATTTCTCACTCTCCATGTATCTACATGGAAGATGCAATTATTAATGCCTTAAATAATTTTTTAAATGTCATTCATGTAGTGAGAAGCCAAGGTGATGCAGGAAAATGAGTCCCTGCCTGCACAACCAGATAAACCCAAAGAGGAAATGTGGTGCAGTTAAGTTATATTTTAATTATATCTATCCTGATTTGGGAAAAATGGACATTCCTATAGTACAGGCCATATTAATCATGTAATTCATATTAAAATCCCTGACTGGAACTACCCAAGCTTATGATCTCTATGCTGCAGAATATGTGGAAGAAGCAGAAAATAAGAGGAACTGGAAACTAAGGGTTGGGGGAAGGGGTTAATTTACATTTTTTCATGCCAGCAACTAAGAGAGGTAATGTAAAACCTGGCAATTAAAGCAGAGGCTTAGAAATAAGTCAGCCTCAATCCCCTTCAAGATTAGGCACTTGGACAAGTCACTTGCCAGGAACATCCTTTGAAGTCATTTGAAGAATGGGAATTCTGCTTAAATTGGTGAACGAGTGTGATTTATTCTTCGTGTACGTGTGACATCTCTGATGGGGGTGATGCCTCTGGAACCAGTGCAACCTTCACACAAATTCAGAGTGACTTCTTGAAGGCATCCAACATCCTTCCCAGCTGTGACAGCCCTGAGGCCACAGCACTCCAGACCTGGACACAGCGTGAGCTGAGGTGGCACTTCCTAAAGCAGCATCACTTCCTAACACAGAAGTGCAATGACAAAAATCCAGTGACACATTTCGGGTCCCCAAAAATCAGAGGAAAATCTGGTTTTTAATCGTACTTTGGAAAACCGACATTGCTTGTGGGCTTTGCACAAGGCAAAACTTTTAATGAAGAAATGAAAATAAAAGGCTTACAAATATCTAGGATTAAATCCAAATGGTAGGGAAGGATTTCATAGGTATCAGTTCTGTGCAACCACCATATCACCAAACTCGGGAGAGTGAAGACAGCCTCTGCTGTCTCCTCCTGCCTGGGGATCTCTCCCAGCTCTTGCAGACCACAACTTTCACCTTGGCTTCTCTGTCCCCTGTTTCCCCCCCCTTCCTGCCCTGGGGATCCCAAGCACAGGGATGTCACCCCTCGGTGACAGCTGGCCTGGCACTGCCAAGGGGATGTTCCTCCTGCAGAGCAGAGCGGGAAGCTGGCACACCCCGTGCTCTGTCCCCGGGCTGGGGACACAAGGGGATGAGGTTCAGTGCCAAGTAAAGCAAGCTGCAGTCAGCATCTCCTCTCAGCTAAGTGGCTTTAAGGAGTACTTGGAACAGAGAGCTTGGATTTTCTTGAGTCAGGGCTTCTGAATCACGTAGTCATTATTCCTTAAGGTTTTGGCACAGTCTTTGGTCACCCAAGAGGAATAAAGATCTGAAGAACCACAGTATGAAGACAAGCCAGGGGACACAGATGTCCTGGGAGACACTCATTATCTTCTTGTTAAACTGAGAGTCTTGGCTAGGACCCCTCAAATGGGACGATACACACCCATCTATTTAATTTCAGTTTGATGTAAAAGGAAATTAATCAAGCTATAAAAAATGAATCAAGTTCCCAGAAAGAGGGAGAGAGAGAAAGCAAACACTTACTAACAGACAGAAAACCATTACAATAAGTTTACAAGTTGAAGTGCAAGGACTTGGCCGAAGTAACTACAGTTCTAAAATGAATTCCTCACATACCTATTACCAAAATCCAAACTGTATTTTCGAGGAGTCACAAATTATTCTCAGTTAATCAGAGTGTTGCTAGTTTGCTTGTCCAGCCCAAAGATCAAATATTTTGGGAGTGCAAAGGACTCTGTCCTGACAAAGTATGTCAGTAAAAGCCAGCAGTGGAATCAGCAGAGCAGGAAGTGACCATCACGAGCCTGCCTCACACTAGGTGGAAATTTACAGCGGTTCCACAAATCTTCTTACTGTCAGTAAATTCCCTCAACCTCCTAAGGAGAAGGGATCATTGCTCCTGAGAGGGATAAATCAATTCCCTCGATAGCTAAACCCAGACCCTTTGCAAGATAACCAGAATGTTTGGCTCACCCCGTGTTTAGGCAGACTTCCCAGGACAAACCTTCCAGTCTAGGTTTCTCTAGCCCTTCCTAGCTTTCCCTTCCAGGAGCTTTCCCTCCAGGAGCTTTCCCTTCCTCTTTTCCCAGTTTTAAGAGGGAAAGATGTATGGATTCATGACAATCATGCTTCATGCAAAGTTTGGGGGAGAAGAAACGATTCAGGAAGAAAATGAGAAGCAATTTTTTTTTTTTCAAGAATCACAAGCAAAAGCTGCCTTTGTTTTTCCAAAGGGCTTAGGCACTGCTTTCAGACTTGCCCAAATTGTCATTACTTTGCTACTGTAAGGATCCAGGTGTTTTCTGGCAGCAGAAGTTGCTCTGCAAGCAGAAGTGATTTAGCCAAATCTCTGCATCAGAAAGTCCATTTCCTCCTTCACCCTCTGCAGATACAAACCTGCACAGGCCTCCCCTGGCTACAGGGCAATCCCGGCCCCTCCTCTCTGCCTGTACTTCCACTTCACCCAGGCTGCTCCCCAGATTATGCATGGATGGTCTCAAGAAGGCAAAGGAAGAAATGGAAGTTGGAACTGGAGTTGTTTCCGAGCCGAACTCACACACAGGATCACCCACACCACTGACAGCGCTGACTAGCATCTTTGCGAGGTACTAAAACTCAGGGGTTTTCACCTCTTAACTGACAACATTCACGTAATGGCAGGAATTTAACTTTGGGCCTTCTCCTCTGCCTCACTGACCGGATGGCGCTTTCGGTTGTCCAGACCAATTTCCTAAGGAAAACTCCCGGCTCTGGGAGAGCTTTGGAGGCCGTGCAGGGGTGCAGCGCTCGCCGGGTGTCAGCCGTAAGCTCACGCCATAATCCCAGGACGAGCTAATGGCTGCAAACGGATGCAAACGGCACCTCCCGACACATGGCTCGCCCGGGGCACACGGCGGCTCCCGGGGAGCGCCCGCGGGGAGCGCGGCCGGCAGAGCCCCGGGCCCGCAGGGACCCGCACCGGGACAGGCCCCGGCCGCGGCCTCGGGACACCCGCCCCGCCCCGCCCGGGGCCCCGCTCACCCTCGCAGTTGTGCTCCATGAACTCCAGGATGGGGATGGACCAGGCGGGCCCCCGCAGGAAGCCGGCGATGGTGTCCACCACCCACTCCACGTCGTCCTCCTCCCCGGCCGCCATGGCCAGCGGCGCGGCCGCTATGGCAACCGGCGTCACGGGGCGGGACCTGCGGGCCGGGAGCCGCCCTCACGGCATTCCCGGGAATCGCGGCGCGGCGGGAAGCGGGGCTGAGGGGGGCAGCCGGGGCAGGAGCAGCGGGAAGCGGGGCTGGGGGGGTGACGGGAGCCGGGGGAGGGCGGCTGGCAGCGGCCGCAGCAGCCCCGGCCGCCTGGCGAGAGGGTCCTGCACAACAATGGAAAGAGAAGAAATTAGCACCTACGGTGATGGTTAGTCGCCAGCGTTGAGGGAAATGGAGCACGGGAGCTGGCGGTGCAGCCAGGCTTCCCTGTGCTTGGGGATAGCCGGGATATGGGGGACACGGCCCGGAGAAGCCGCCCTGTGCCCTCCGGAGGGCCGCGGCTGCTCCAGCGCCTCCATCACCCTCTCACACTCTCACAGTACAGTCCAGGTTGGGCTCATATATTTAAATGTCTTTAAAAATTTATCGCAGATGATGGAAAATTCCTGTTAGCCCCTATTTTACCATGTTCAGAATGCAGTGACATTGTGGAGCAAACCCTGCAGTGCTGGAATTAGGAAATCATTTACAAGGCAATGGGTAAGAAGGTTTACATTAACATTTAATCATTTGGGCATTTCTTAGGGCTGGTGGTTGTGGTGTATTCCTTTTCTCCACTAAAATTAAGGTAATTTCTCTCACTGGCCTCACCTCTTGACACTGCTGTCAAATTGAAAAGTTTTCCCCAATGTTTAAATGTATGTTCTTCCTAATACTGGATGATTGCTTGCCTTACTGGTGCATGTCACTGGTAAGTAAAAATAAAATAAGAAAATTTAAAAAAAAAATACCAACCAAACAAAAAGAACATCTTGATCCTTTTAAAAAAATTTTAATGACCACAAACAGTGGCAGTTCCAGTTTGTTACATCAGGATCGGGCTTGGTCTTGCTCAAGAACTCTTGTAGCCCTTACTGAGATTTTACCTGCACAAATTTTCAGTGCTTGGATGAAGGCTAATTTATTTTCTATTTTTTCTCAAAGGTAACAATTCTATGCTCTCAGAACTGCAGAGAAGTACCTGATCATCATTTAAATAAGAATCTGCACTGGAAAAACTTCAAATTTTCCTTTTGCAGGCCACTTTTTTTCACCATCAGCATTTCCATTTCTACAGCCAGTTTTGTGGTCTGAGAGCATCAGCCGTATGACAGGATATTCACCTCCTATTTGTTACATAAAAATTTAAAGTATTTCATCAAAGTTACAAGAAAAATTGCTGCAGTAATGAATATGAGGAAATTCTGTCCTCTGTAATCAAATCCGTTTTGTCACCTCACAGGAAACTGCCCGATGTGATCATGTTCTGTCCATGGATGTCAGGGGAAACACTGCAGTTGCTGGTTTTGTTAATAATACAAAAGGTGGAGCAGGAAATGCTCCCTTGTCTGAGTCACAAAAAGCATTTATTGCTTGATTTTCTGTCTTCTCTGAGCAAGCTGTTACTTCAGACATTGTGACATATATATATATATATATGTATATTTATATGTTTATGTACTCACACACTGGCAGGCAAATTTTGTCAAGCCTTTCCAGTCCCTGTGTTCCACTGAATTCTTGATGTCAGCACCCAACTCTCTTCACATCCAGCGGGTTCCACTCACAAGCACAATAATGAAGTTTGAAATTCCAGAATCTTGAGAATATCTGACTTCTTTTTGCTGAATGCTGGTTTTGATCGGTTGCTGAATTTATAAATTTCTTTATCTATTTATAAATAAAGAGGCAAGAAGTGAGGCAGATGAGCTTCTTAGCTACTGGCAGAGGTGGTTTTTATGTCACTTCTAATTTCTTTAACATGGATAACTTTGTAGCTTTTGAACAATTTAAAGGACACTGGCAAAAGTGCAATCATCAGATTAATAGTTAAACAGTATGATTTTTAATTACTCTTTTGTTTAGGCTTTAATTCTCCCATCCACCTAGTTTGTAATAGTCTTACTACTGTAACAGTTATAAATATTTTTACCTTAGCAAACTTAATGCAACTTTTCCAGTTTGTTTTTATAAATGTTAGTTTGTCAGGGATTTTTTTAAAATAAATCTGATCTCAAAGAGAACACTGAGCTCAAGCTTCTGAAAACCTGTGGTGCAAAGGCCTTTTCTTTCAGTCCAGCAGACAGAATTAAATGTGACTTCTGTATAAAAGGTTGAAAATTAAAATAATAATCGCTTTGGGCTTATTGGCAACAATTTATTGTGGAGATTTTTGGTTAAATATGTTATAATTCAGGGACTTCACTGTACTTTAGTCAAAGTTAATCAAGGAGAGAAGTTGGTTCTGAGCAATGCAGACACATTGAAGAAGTGCCTAAAGTCAAGTAAGGAATTGTGAGTTATCTTCATTTTCCTCCCCTCTGGGATATTGAGCTCCTGCAGGAACTTGTAAAGATCTTCCTATTTAGGTCATTTTCTTTCATTTTATAAAGCTGTTCTTTTCTATAGTGATTTGAAGGTTTTATACAAAAGGAAGGCTGTTTCACAGAATCCATTCTGCCTGAGAGGCCACTCCTAATATAATTATCTCATAATAAGCATATGCCATTGCTTTTCCTATAATGATGCTTCTTAGCTAAATTATCTAATCTTAAAAGCATCTCAAGTGTCCAATATCTATTGCTTTCTCTTTATAGCTTGTGAAAAAAGAGACACTAGAACTACAAGAATATTATTTCTTCTCTTTTTTAGATTTTTTTTCATTTATGTGCTTGTCACAAACCATGCACATTTTGCCCACACATTTATATGAAGTCTATCTATACACCTGATTTCATATATTTTCCTGAAGCAAATTTTGTTCTTTATTTAGCAACAATAGGATTCATTCCCATATACACTTTTCATAGGGATTTTCTCCATACACGCTGATCCGGTGTTTTAGTAACACAAAATTGTGATTTCAAATTAGTTTGACAATGGAAGGCAGACATGCTGCAGTGCTTTTGCCATTGTTTTTTTCTGTGGTGTCTGCACCTCTTGAATTCTAAAAAGCCTTGTAACAGTTTAGATTTTTCTGTCCAATTTCAGCTGATGGTTATTGATGGAAGATGAACTACAGCAAGGTGAAGCCTGTGGTTTGATCTGAAGCCTGTGAGTTTTGTTATTCTAATCTCTTCTGGCATGGAGTTCTGCAGCCATGAGCAGGTAAAAAAAGGAAAAAGAAAAAGCCCTATGACCTTTCTTTGGAAGTGGAGAGTTTCACTGAACCAGTAAAGGTGGCATCTGTGGAGGATGAAATGGTATCAATAAGGATATGAGATGGTTAGAAATAGGAAAATAATAAATTGCCAGATGCATGGGCATTTTATTAATTGCTGAATAAGAGTGGGAAAAAGGTGGTTGCCACAAGTCCATGATAATAATAGGTAAAAAAAGAAAAAAATATAGCTTTCAGTTGTGTATTGATTTTGAGGAAAGATCTTTATTTCTGAACTTAGAAGACTTTCTACTCAAGTCCAGCTTCTAACACCTTCATCCAAGAGTCATGAAAGTTCTGCAGAAAGACTTCTACACACAAACTCGTTTCACTTTCTCTTCAGTTTTTAGCACTGTGAGAATTATGCATTTTTAATTTCTTTGTAGAACTTCCCTTAAAAAGGACTCCTCAATATTAGGATTACTGAAGTGTTACCCGGGGCTGTGTGGGGAGTGGGACTAGAAGAGGTCTGAAGGCTGCCCAGCCTTGGAGTTTCCTTGACTGCACAGAGAGAATTTATTTGAGGCATGAGTTTGGTTTGAGTCATTTAGTGTTACCTCAGGGCTTGGCTTTCAAGAAGGCATTTACAGACAAAGTGCTGGTTCTAGGGGCTCTGGGGAAGAACTGGAGTTTGCATTTCTGGGTTTTATTACCCACATGATTCAGTTGCCCCCAAGAACTTTGGCTAATTGCATTGTATTGTTGATTATAAAAGCCAAAGAAAAACCCCAAGGAAAACAATGCACTGGAGTGCCTCACAGAAACTGTGCTTCCTACTGCTGAAGCAGAAAAATCAGTTGGATGTACAAGAAAAAAATACTTCCACAGAGATACAGATGGAAGTGCTTTGTACAGAACCCCATCAGTCCTGTTTCATGGATTTCAGATGTGTATGACTTTAGCAAGTGGGACATTGGAAGAATCACACAAATTAGGTTAGCAGAGTACATCTGCTGGAGAGCAGCACTTTGTCCCATGTTCCAGGGTGTGTTCTCTGGCTCCCAGGTGCAGAAGGGGCTCCACACTCTCAGCTCACTGATGTGATGGAGCCCCGTGGCCAGGGTGACACAGGAGTGTCAGGGTGACTTGTTCTGAGATCTGAGCAGAGCCCAGGAATTCCATACCCCTCACTCCACCCCATTAACTCTCCTCACTGCTGCAACTGACCTTCCAGCAACTTGCAGGTTTGTGGGGCACTGATCAACAAGGGGTTTTGCCACCACAGCCAGCAGTGGGGAGAACAGAGGTGCTGCTGTGCTGCTGCTGCTTGCCTCTTGCTGTGCTATTTCCTTTTCATTTTCTAAGGTGCCATCTTCTCAGGCTCCTAGCAGAGGCTCTGTCTGGAACAGAGGAAGAGCTGGGGTGTGTTGGACGTGGCCAGGAGCTGCTGTGCTCTCTGTATATCTGGATACAGCTGCCACACCAGTAGGTGTGACCTCAGGAAGGCATAAAAACCAGAGCTGTGAGACGAAGAGTGGAGCTTTTCACAGCTCCATGAGCAGGTTGAAGGTAGCAGCATAAGCAGGGCTGCTCCTGTTCTTACTTGGAGGACACACTGTAGGATTCCAGTGTATGCATGGTTTTCATTAAGCTCAGTAATTTTTAATAGTTGATTTTTATGAAAGCACCATGAGTTATTTATTAAGTAGTTTGTGGACTATGGAATTTTTACTTATGCTTTAATGTTATAATTTTTTTAAAAACCAATTTGGCAACTATGCTTTTATAAAATTTTCATTATCAAATGACGCTGTGTGTAACTGTGGGTTATTTTG